TTCTTATCTCCACTCAATCATATTAAGATATCAAGCTTGTAAAGCTTGTTGATGGTGTCTGCCGGGGAAGAATAGAGCTCATCAATGGATGAGTCAATAGAGTCAATGATAATCATGGTGGGTAGTTAGCGACTGCTTTTACTGTAAGTACACCCCATGTCTACACATGTGAAAAGCAGCTCAGCTTTTGCATTTACAAATATGCCTGAGCCTCGTTTTGGTTACTTGTACTTCTCGCTGTTTGGGTTGGAATTTTACAAGAATCGTGGGCCATTGGAGCATTTTTTTTTTAATTAGGAAAAAAAAAAGTGTCCAATGCAGGATTCGATTCTGGGTCGTAATGGCCAAAAATCAATGGTTTAGACCATCCTTCCACCATAATAATAAATAATATTTACAACAAGAGACCAAACCTTTGAAGGATGATCACTCCACAAGTCTGATGATGGCGGTTGGTTCAAACGGCAGAGTTTCTTTTTCAATACTGCCTCTTAGATAACCTCATTTGGAAGGTGGAAGTGTGTACAGTAGCTCATTTCATATCTGGAGGCTAAAAGGTAATAAAGACCAAATCTAGAATAACTTCTTAGGTCCTTTGAAGTCTTATCAAAAATGATAAAGTACAATTTGGATTGCAGATTAGAAATAAACCATGATGATAAAGCACAATTTGGATTATAGATTATAAATACAAGAAAATAAGACCTAATCTAAATAATTTATTAGTGTGTGACGTTTCGGTAACAGCATTGTCATCATCATCAGACAAAAGAATAAATAATTTTTCTTGAATAAATGTATTTATTCCTTTGGTTGATGACAATGCTGTTGCCGAAATGTCACATACTATTAAATTATTTGGATTAGGTCTTATTTTATTGTATTATTATCCATAATCCAAATTGTGCTTTATCACGGAAGCTAACTATTAATGTGTTAAGGGAGGTGTCCCATTCCAAACCATCATGTGCACGCATTTGCCGGTCCCAAGCCCGGATGTAAAAGGAGGAGGGGAGCAGTAACAAGCTCACTAAAAAACCTGGGCTCAGCTGGCCCGGCTGATAGTACCCTGTAAGGGCTCCTGATCCAGGGATACAGAATGAGCAGCGTTGGTAGTCCATGTTAGGAGCGGCTGCACATAGTGTCTGTTCTTCATGTCAGAGGCGGCCATTTCTTTTGGTGCTAAGTCAGCCTGCCACTGAGTAGTGCTCCCAGTCTTAATGACAAAGTCAGACACATTCTACTTCACCCAGTCATGATGGTTGTCAAACAGACACCATCAAGGGTCACAACTTGATACCCTAATATGATTGAGTGGAGATAAGAAAGAAGAATATATGCACGCTATGTAAATCAGTATGGAAATCAAAAGGTAACAAAGCAACAACACCTCCACACACACATGAAATAATCAAAACTTTATCTCACCACAATAATAATGTAGCAAAATATTTATAAACAGACTTACAATTTTATTCATTATATATTTTACTACTCTTCCCTATCTGATATTTTAGAAATAACAATTTTGTCTTATACATCAAATAAATTGCAGTGTCATTCTGACGTTTGTCTTTCCTTTAATTTTCTATGTTACAACACACTCCATATTTATTTTTGTGGCGTCAATTTTAATCACAATGAAGTACAGATGTTTGAGAGCCATCCCACTTTTGATTGTTTAAATTTCACCAGTTTAAAAAAGGTAACTAAAAACTTGAAACACATTTTGATTTATAAACACAAAGTAATAAGGCCAAATCCAAATAAATAGTGTGTGGCGTTTCTGTACAAGCGTTGTTACCATCTTCAGACAAAAGTACTGAACGAGAAATTTTACCAAAGCATGTTTTAAATAGTTACTGATAACACTGTTAACACTTGATAACAGTAACTATTTAAAACATCCTTTGGTAAAATTTCTCATTCAGTACTTTTGTCTGAAGATGGTAACAATGCTGTTACCAAAACGTCACACTATTTATTTATTTGGTCTTATTACCTTGTGTTTATAATCTATAATCCAAATTGAGCCTTATCACATTTTAATTTAGATATCCTTGAATTCTGTGTTGCAAGTGCACTGGTAACTTTTAGTGTGCGACTTCGTTATTATATTTACTATCCTCATGTTGGCATGTAAAATTTGCATAGAGTAAATGGTGTACATAGCAGATATAAATCATTATGAGTCTTTATGCCTGATCTAATAGACTAGCAGTGTTCAAATATATATATATACAGTAGAACCTTCCTGTAAAAGACACCTAATTGCAGAGCCAAAGTGTCCTTTAGGGAGAGGTGTCCTCTTACCGGAGAGTTGCTAAATAGTAAAAATGATAATATTGCAAATGAAACTGTCCTTTATAGAGAGGTGTCCTCTAGCGCGAGTGTCCTCTCATTGAGGTTCTACTATATACAACAAATGAAAACATTAAGACGCAAATGTTTCTCTCACACATCAATCAAACTTTTACTGTCCTTACTGCGATGAAAAAAAATATTAGGAGGGCTTGACTTATCAGTGGTGAACCCTGCCAGCAGTTTCGCCAATTTTTTTTTTTTAATCTACCAGACCGCTTCTTTAAAGCTCTAATACTGTATTGGGTCATTCTGCTTATATATGTTACACTGAATATATAGATGGATTACAATACTGATAAGGCACAATTTGGATTATAGATTAAAAATACAAGGTAATATGACCAAATGCAAATAAATAGTATGTGACGTTTCGGTAACAGCATTGTTACCACCAACAGATAAAAGTAATGAATGAGAAAAAAATCTCTTTCTGATATAACCTGGATTCCTGGAACATACTAAATTCGCCAACTATCCGGTGAGAGAGAGAAATATCACAGCCTGCTCTTAAATAGTTACTGTTATCAGGTGTGTAAAATTCTTATCTGCTATCTTATTTATACACTTGATAACAGTGACTATTTAAGAGCATGCTGTCTTCTTTCTTATCTCCACTCAGCAATCATATTAGGGTATCATGCCTGTAGAGCTTGTTGATTGTGTCTGCCGGGGAAGAGTAGAGCTCATCAATGGATGAGTCAATACAGTCAATAATGTGGTTTGGGGTTGCTGGTTGACACTTAAGACAGTGGGAAAACCTTGCAACCATTCTGGAAAGTCATTGTTCCATAGATGACCAGATTTAAGTGTAGAAATCAAGGACTGCTGTTACCTTGGGAGGACAGAATTGGTGCTTGTCCCTCCTGTTCTGTACCAGTAAAGCATGCAGTGATATGTGACACACAGTAGAACCTGTGTGCATTGTCCATACAACCAGGATACTCCAAGTCTTTCCTTATTTTTTAATTAGTTCCTTTTCACTTCTGACCAAGTTTCCTACAGAGTTTAGCATGTAGATTGCACCCATGGCCAAAGTATGCATTACGCTGTGAGCTACTTTCTTGGTAGTTCTAGAGATGGTTCTCTAGACTAGATAGCTAGCTCCTACTGGACACCACATCCAGGGCATGAGTTACTTCCTCTAACTAAAGAGAGAGATGTTACTGGAATCATTTTCAAATGAATTTTTTTAAACTTTACTTTTATTTTTAAATATATATGTCATAATTTGCCAAATACCCAAGAGGTATAATTTCACCAAAATATGAATGTTAAACTGTAAATATGTTAAGCTTCGTGTTAAAATGTAAATACAAATTAATCCATCTATCGATTGATAAACCCTGTACGATTTATAAATGAATAAAACAAAGCTTCGAGGGCTGCGTATCTTTTATTAGAACAAATATAATACTAGCTTTCGGGCACATATGCCCTTCTACAGGAATTAATGAAACAATAATCCGACTAGTTTGAAATAGGATTTATATACAATAGTTACGTGTATATAAATCCTATTTCAAACTAGTCGGATTACACAGGTCTACAAAACTCAAAGTAGTTGTACCTTATAGCATATATATATCGGGATTCAGAAAAAAAACTCTGAGAGATATTTGATGCACAGTGATAAATATCCCTGTGCATCAAATATCTCTCAGAGTTTTTTTTCTGAATCCCGATATATATATGCTATAAGGTACAACTACTTTGAGTTTTGTAGACCTGTGTTATTGTTTCATTAATTCCTGTAGAAGGGCATATGTGCCCGAAAGCTAGTATTATATTTGTTCTAATAAAAGATACGCAGCCCTCGAAGCTTTGTTTTATTCATTTATAATCCATCTATAAATACACTGTACAAAATAAACGTGGGAGCCAGCGAATGCTACGGCACGCCGCGCGCTAACTTGGCTGGAACAGTACTTTTCGAAGCTTACATGCATAACGGTTGCACCCTTCCATTTGATCACGACATATATATATATAATTAAAATTTCTCTCTACAACCCTTTATCCTGTAATGTATAGAAATTGAAATAGGGAGGGTATGGCTGCTCATCAGTTGTGAACCCTCCCAGCGGTTTCGCCATTTCAATCTCCAGAACACTTCACTAGAGGACTAGTTCCACTAGAGGACACCTCTCTACAAAGGACAGTTTTCATTTCAAAAATTACTACTTTCACTATTTAGTAACTCTCATGTAAAAGGATAACTCTCCCTAAAGGACACTTTGGCTATGCAAATAGGTATTCTTTACAATATCCCTCAGAAGTTCCTAGCAAGAAACCTTTCATTGGATATCCTTTACATATACAGTTAAACCTGTCTATAGCGCCCCCTCATGGGACTCATCAAAATAGGGTGCTATATATAGAGAGGGGGTGCTATAGACAGGTCACTTTTAATGTAAATCGCATCGTACTATATATTTAAAACCAGGCGCTATAGACAGGTTTAACTGTATATATATATTTTTTTGCTTATCTCTAGTACATGTGGTACAGGCCATAATAATAATAATGGTGGGTAGAAGTAGGCGACTGCTTTTACTGTAAGTGCAACACATGTCAACACATGTGAAAAGCAGTTCGACTTGGCACTTACAAATGTGCCAAAACCCCATTAAAAAAACCTCCCAGGCGGGGACTCGAACCCCGGTCACCCGCATGACAGGCAGGAATACTAGCCACTCTACTACAGAGGACAATTTTAAAAATATTTAATCCAATCTAAATCAAAAGTTACTAAAACATAATTAACCATTATCTAAAAGAAAACAAGACCTAATCCAAATAATTTATTAGTGTGTAAAAAAAAGTCCCTCGAGCCGGATTTGAACCAGCGACCTAAGGATCACCGTTGAAACATCTACAGTCCTCCGCTCTGCCAACTGAGCTAACTGATCCCTCGATAGCTCAGTTGGCAGAGCGGAGGACTGTAGATGTTTCAACGGTGATCCTTAGGTCGTTGGTTCAAATCCGGCTCGAGGGACTTTTTTTTACACACTAATAAATTATTTGGATTAGGTCTTGTTTTCTTTTTACACACTAATAAATTATTTGGATTAGGTCTTGTTTTCTTTTATTATAATCTATAATCCAAATTGTGCTTTATCATAACCATTATCTAGTTTTAAGATAAAAACAAAAAAATCAAGCTTAGTATTAGACACAAATGTTTCCATTCCATGTATGATAAGCTCCAGTTCAATTAGAGTGTTAAATACAAGTATTTTATAGAAAGTAAAAGTCTCCACAATACAGAATTACTGAGTCTTCCGGCCTCCACCTTGGCACAAGTCCAGTGATTCCCAAGGATAACACAATCTGGGAAACAATGGCACTTTTTATCTCACTATTACGATATTTGCCCCCAACATCTCTCTACTGCCCCAGCTATTAGACCCCCCGCAACACAACCTTTTAGAAATAAAAAAACCTGCCCTTTAACTTGTCAAAGTTTCTACCCCCATTTTTTTTTTATTACACACAATTTGCCAATGACTTTTTTTTTTTAAACTATAATTTAAATAATACAGTAAAACCCCCATGACAGGACACTCACGCTAGAGGACACTTCTCTATAAAGGATAGTTTTCATTTGCAAAATTACCATTTTTACTATTTAACAACTCTCTGGTAAGAGAACACTTCTCCTTAAAGGACACTTTGGCTCTGCAATTAGGTGTTCTTTACAGGGAGGTTCTACTGTATGTATATACAGCAAAACCTTTCTGTAAAGGACACTATGAAGAGGTGTCTTCTTACCTGAAAATTGTTAAATAGTAAAAATGGTAATTTTGACAAAATGAAAACTGTCCTTTATTGAGAGGTGTCCTCTAGCCGTGATGTCCCCTCATGGAAGTTCTACTGTATTGTAAAAAGTACAGGAGGATGGCAATTATGGCCAAAAAACTGTACCTCTTTCCTTTAATGATAAGAAACAATTTGGATTATAGATTATAAACACAAGGTAATAAGACCAAATCCAAATAAATGAATAGTGTGTGATGTTTCGGTGACAGCGTTGTTATCATCTTCATACAAAAGTACTGAATGATTCAGTACTTTTGTCTGAAGATGGTAACAATGCTGTTACCGAAACATCACACACTATCCATTTATTTGGATTTGGTCTTATTACCTTGTGTCTCTGGCCAAAGATGATCAAATAAATTCACTATTGGTAGCATCTAATATAAGTGGTTAAAAAAGAAAGACCTGCCTTTATCGCACATATATCCATTTATTAGATAATAAAAGGCATATATTGGATTTAATAAAATATTTATTTTGCCAATATTTCGGCTGGCTGAACGCCAACCTTTAACGAGGCATTACATTTTTTATATCCATTTATATATTTCTACAAAGTTATCCTCAAGGAAAGTTTTAAGATGTATTAAAACAGTAGTACTTTCAACAGCTTGTATTCAACTATCATTCTTTTAGTATAGCCATCTGTGATATTGTTCCAATTCATTAATTATCCCATTGTATAATTTATACAATTTCACGGAGACTGAATTCATGGATTAAATTTACAATCTTGGTAGAGTTGGAATACAGGTCCTGTCTTGAGGCTTCCATACATTCCAAGAGGTGGTCTGTTTTTTTTTTATGTTGTTGTTGTGTCCTATGAAGAGCTTCAGATGTCTCCATACATCTCAGCGTTCACAACTGGGAAGAAGACCGACCCCATCTCCCTTGGACTCTTCGAATATTCGACCAAATTCTGGTCCAAGGAAACTAACGTCACAATGGCACCCAATTTCCAATGAAGAACAAAACTGTATTTGAGTTCAATGACTAACAAAAACTATATTTCATTCACCAACAATCATTCCCTTTCAAGAATAGAAAAGGTAGCAAAAAAAAAAAACTTTATGGAGATAGAAACAAAGTAATAAGACCAAATCCAAATAAATAAATAGTGTGCGACATTTCGGTAACAGCATTGTTACCTTAATCAACAAATTTGTTACAGAAATGTCACTCAATATTAAATTATTTGGATTATATTTTATTTTCTTGTATCTATAATCCAAATTGTACTTTATCATTCATGGAGAAAGAAGCATAAGGTAATAAGACCAAAATCCAAATAAATAAATAGTGTGTGACATTTGGATAACTGTTGCCGACAAAGTACATGAGACAAAAGTACTAAATCATTCTTTGTCTGATGATGGAAAGAAGAAGAAAATATCTTTATTTACGGGCTACTAACCAAAAGTTATGATTTTTGAGCCCAAAATCGATGTCAGGTGGCAAGGGACCCTAGGATGTGGAAGCAGGAGATGTCTCGCAGGGGTGGTGGAAACGTTGGGCAAGCAGGGGAATAGCGCCAGGGTGCAGTGAGGCGGGTGCGTTGAATAGGCCAGGAATCCAGGAGAAGTGGCAGATGGAAATGGAGGCAGAAGGTCCTTGAAGCCTAGAACTTGAGGGCCCTAGACTTCAGGATGGGGCAGCTTGAGGCTCTCGCCTCGTGCTTGTCAGGAAGGCCCTGGGAGCAGCAGTTGGCACATTTGGAGGTGCGCTGGTCAGCAATGGATGGGCAGGTTCGGCCTTCATGGCCGTCTTCACCGCAGTGGAAGCACTTAGGAGCTCTGGTGCATTGGGCAGAGTTGTGGCCGAAGCCACAACAGCGGAAGCAGACGCGGGCGCGGATGGACTCCTCGAAGTTGAGGATTACTCCATCCACCACGATCCTCCCGCGAACGCCCAGGGCTCTAAAGGTCTTGAGGTCCACCTCGATGAAGGCGGTGCAGGTCCCGTTTCTGGGTGCAGAACGGTGCGCCACGCGCACCACCTTGTCCCCAGGAAGTTTTCTAACAGCAGCGGTTTCCAGGAAGGTCTCCTCAATTGTGGAGTTGGATGTCTCCTCATCCACTTTGAAGAGGCAGATCCGTGGCAGGATCTCCTTCTGCTGGCGGACCTTCATTCCATTCAACTTGCTGGCCAGGGAGGTTGTAACCTCAGGGATGGTGTCAGGATTGCTGGAATGGAGGACCAGCTTCCCCTTGGTGCGCAGGGAGGCCCAAACGCCTTGGGGGAGAGTGTGAGCAGCGCGGACTGTTTTCAGCATCTCCCTTGGGTCAGCCTGTGGGTCATCTGAGATGACCACTGTGTGGGCCGCCGATTTTTCTCCATGAAGGATCACTTGGGCGGCCGCAGGCTTGGAGACGTGGGAAGGCACAGGTTTTGAAGGACCATTCAGGTTTGTCCTCTTTGCAGGCGGGTTGGGAGCTTCAGACTGCTTCCTTTTGGTTGGAGCAGGAGCAGGCAGGGTGGAGGCAGGCTTCTTGGCAGGGAGAGCAGCAGGAGCAGGAGTGGCGGGCTTGATTGGGTCAGTCTGGGAGCTGGTTTCATTGCAGGAAGGAGCAGGGCAGGTTTGAGTGCCGCGGCAAGCAGTCTTGGGCTTGTTGGCCTCCTCAATTTCGTCCAACTCTGCGAAGGACTCGAGGGTGTCAGTGAGGTTCTCTACATTGGTAGCGAGGGCCTTGATCATTTCAGTCCGCGAGGCGATGTAGCGGATCAGGTCCTCATGCAGGGATTTCAGGGCAGGATGACCAATGGAGCTCAGGATGCTGCAGTTGCGTGAGATCACCATCTCATCTTCCCTCTCCAGGTCGGCGACGTTCACGATGCGGGTTGTAGGCTTGTAGGCCTTCTTTTTCTTCTTGGCAGGATTCATGTCAAGAGCGGCCATCAATTTTAATGGAAACAGTATAAGACTGGTGTCTTAATAAAAGCTGTGTGTATGTCTGATGATGATAACAACACAGTTATTAAAATGTCACACACTATTTATTTGGTCTTATTAAAAATGATAAAGCACAATTTGGATTATAGATTATAATAAAAGAAAATAAGACCTAATCCAAATAATTTATCTTGTTTAAACACTTGATAACAGTACTATTTAAGAACTTGCTGTAATATTTTTTCTCATTTATTCTTTTGTCTGATGATGGTGACAATGTTGTTGCCGAAACGTCACACACTAATAAATTATTTGGATTAGGTCTTATTTTCTTTTATTATTGGTCTTATTACCTTATGTTTATAATCTATAATCTAAATTGTACCTTATCATTTATGGAGATAGGATTTGACACCTTTCAAAACATCTTTATAAAAGTTTTAAAATTCATCTCTTTTTGACAGAGAGTAAGATAAGAAGTTGATTTTTAAAAATAGCAAAAAGTGGAAGAAATTTGATGGTGGAAATGCTATATCATTGGTATCTTTACAACTCAATAAATGTCTAATCTTAAAAGCAGACGATTGTACATATAATCTAAATTTGAAGTCATAAACCTTACAGAAGATATAACTATCTATATTATATAAGAGTGTGTTTGTATGAAAAAAAAAGCAATAAAAAATATATATCATAAAAAATAATCAAATGTTCTTTTTAAAATATTGTGTCTGAAGTAAAAGAAAGTGTTCAAAATTTTTGTTATATAAACACAATAATACTGATTACAAAAGATATTTAAAAATGACATTTGTTGATTGAATGATGTTGATAAGAATAGACCAAAAGATGATGCAACTAGAAGTACATAAGCCCAATTTTAATTGTTATATGTTTAGTCCTTTATTTATTTATTCATTAATATATTAAATATATATTTTTCTTCTTATTGTGTATGTTTATGTATGAAAATCTTTCAAAAGACCAATCATTTTAACC